GGTCGAAACCGTAGTCCATCCTGGATGAGATTATCAAGGTCATAATAAATTCAATGAAATAATGGGCCTATACATATCATTAGGCGGAAACGTTTATTGCCTGTACTTGAATCGCCTAAAGCGACTTAAGTTGACTAAGTTCTTATTTCAAAACTTTCCTACAAAACCTACAAGTAATATCGTCAAATGATGTTGGAGTACCTTTCATTTGGTTTGAAGAGGCGAGTGGAAGGGATTCGTAAATTGGTCTCACCGGAAGCTGTAGGTGGAAGTTTCCTTGGGGTTATTATTGTGAATTTGTGTGAATAGGTCCTCTACGAAGCGCCCTGCGACCCCGATGAAATATTTCTAAGCTTTCATCCGTTATGTGTCGGACATCACCAGAACAGGACACCAGGCTTATCGATAATTTAGCAAAACACCCTAATTTTCATGCTGAGCAATGATGCATTGGAGTTTCAAGGCGGTGTGCCGAGGATCTATTCGCACAAATCAACAATCACAGATCCAAGGTAATCTCGCTACAGCTTCCGGTGAGACCAACTTACGAATCCCTTACACTCGCCCCTTCGAACGAAGTGAAAGGTACTCCAACATCAATATAGTGCTGCGTTGATCCGACTCCGTTTTCGCAACTTTTCTGTTCAACCATTGTGGCATTACTCCCAGCCCCTATTTTTGTTTTACCTTCTAGTGCTGCATCTTTATCTCTAAACCTCGCTTTATATCGGCCATCTATCTATTCACATAATTATGTGCTCACCCTTCCTACAATGTTACCCAAAAGTGTGTCGCTAGAAGAGAGTTAAATGAAGCGTAATCATCCTCACCACCGCTACCAGGTGATGCTTGAAGGCCTCATGACATACTTGCTGTCTCCCTTTCTCCTAACAGGCTTGTCAAATGGTCGCTGAAATTTTGCTATCTAAGAGCCTTCAATTCGCGTCCTCGATAACGCCATATTCGAGGATTTAGAGCAGATGATGTCCATGCCCATGCCAGTGCATGGGGAACTCCCTCTTCCAGCGCCTCCAACAAATGACTCAGTTATCCTCTCTTTCATCCCTACTCACACTGTGTCTCATTCTTCGGGGTCCTGTGTCAGGCTTAAGTCATAATGTTTGGTGTGAAAATGTACCGCTTTCCTTTTTTCCCCTCTTAAATCGTGAAAATCACACTCCTCTCGAGCTCCAAACTGACTCTCCTATCTAAGCCTAGGGTACTAGGGTGTTCACGTGCGTGTTTGTAGGTATCCCCCGTAGTCACCAATCCCCTCCTCTCAAGGCTCATACACAAAAAATGCATACAGTCACGCACACACACACTGGTGACCTATATATCTGGCATACCTTTAACTTTTACCTTTAATTTCCTATCCTACATCACAGAGGTGGTCACCTCCGGATAAACTTTTGGCAGATTCCATATTTGACTCCTCCCACTGGAATCGCCTTTTTTCACTTCCATTTCTCCCCCATGAGCCGCGTTCCTTGGTGATGTCTCTTTCTGTTGTTGAACGGTTGTTTTGGATCAAAGCGTCTTCTTTTTTATGTCTTCACTAAATCTCCAAGTCTGCCCAGGCGGTAAACGAAATTATCGCTGACTCTTCAAACTTATAATCTCTTGTTCATCAGGTTTCTTTGAAAGAGGATGCCCACATTCTCCCTGATCTTCCTTTTCCGAGTGTCATCGCAATATGAGGCGACGTGTTTAGCTATCTCCGATCTTTCCGTATCCATTTTTCTGCATAGTCGCTAGTATTCTATGATTCTTTTGGTGATTATCCTTCCCATACCACTGGTATATTTTTGTTTACAGTCCTTGAAGCTTATTCTGTAAACTTCAAGAGCGATGCCATAACGATTGAACAGAAAATTGGTCAAGGGGATTGCCTTCACTTGTCAATTTGATAAGGTGTAACTCTGTGCTATATATTGCGACTACGATGCCGGAGAAACATTTGGGAATGTACCAGATCAATGGTACAATGCTGGAAATCACGAATACTATGACAAAGAACACGAGACTAGCTAAGTTCCGCAAGGTCTCCCTGAAGCTCCGACCAAGTTGGGAAAACGAGGTCGAACAAACAATATAAAGCTAAGGGAGACTGCGACCAAACAGAAGGTCACACCATCTTGGTCGTCCTATCTACAATGTAGTGTTTGTTTTTACTTGTTTTCGCAACATGGTCTGAGCAAAAGGAAGTCCTTGTTGTAAGTATCTAGTCCTACGTCCTCTATAATAGCATTACTAATTGTTTCCAGTACCGGACCGTTGACTTGGTACTTTCCCAGACAGTTGACCGTGATCGTGGTAGACGTCGTCAGTGAGAGTAGTCATCGTTAGCACAGAGTTACAAATTACCAAACAAAAGGCCACACCATCTTGGTCTTAATATCTACGATTAAAGCCACCTAGGTTCCTATTCTATGTTCTTATTTATTTATTCATCGTCTTTAATTCAAAGTTCTTAATTAAAAATTAGTTTCGAAACCTACTTACTAGAAACATTGATTTAACTTATAATAATTCTCAGCGTCTGACCGGAGATTTGGTATATTCCCCAGACATTTCGCCTACATCTTAGTCGGCATAGTCAATGAGTCATGTCATTCCTTTCACCAAGCTATAGTTCGTCAAAGAGACTAATGAATTCAAGCCCCTGACAAACTTTCTGCCAAGTTGTAGCTTGGTGTTAAGAATGGCAATTAGCACTGGATACCGACTACGATGACGACGAAATGTCTGGGGATGTACCAAGTCCACCGTCCGAAGCTATCGCTTATTATAAATATTACGACAGAGTAGGGGGACCTTCATTTCTTATGAAATGATAATGTTATCTCAGTAGACTCATCGAAACCAAGTTTCTCTTCGTATCTACGACAGAGCACTTCGGACAATTTGTGTCCAACTAGTGTGCCCTGACAACATGACCCGGTTGCGAAAACGAGGCCAGGCTAGTTGCATAAAGCGAAAGGAGACTGCGACCAAAATAGAGGCCGCAAGATTTTATTCTACATGATTAAGAATAGCTTAAACTTATTTTTTGCTTATAAGCAGGTTTTCGAGACTACCAGTAGATAGTTTGGCTTGAGGTTATAAATATTGGCTGTTGAATATTCCCAAAATACTATGAGTAGCTCTTACTTTTCCATTAGATTTCCTAGAGGTATTCTCATCAAGAGGGGAATGGATTTTTGACCTCGCCTTGGTCTCATCAGCACCCCTAGCGTAAGGCGAACCATGGTCGCGCAACGTATAATCTCGACATGTTACCCACTGCACCACATTGACACGAGTGCCCTTCGGTCAAAGAGCAGATGTGAATTTAAAGGAAGCCTAGACCCTTCCCATATCACATCTCTGTGGCAAGATTATCGATAAATCAAAGTAGTATTTACCACAGCAATCAACTACATAACTTATTTTTCGTTTATAAGCCGGTTTTTGAGACTAACAGTAAGGGCTGTATACGCTCCTGCCATGTGACCTATGGGTACTCGTGGCGATGTGGCGTAATGGTTAACTGGTCGAAACTATGCGCTGCCTTGCCCGGGTTCGAGTCCTTCAGGGGTGACTGATGAAACCTAGGCGAGGTTGAAACTAAGGTTCACTTTGGATGCGAATACCAATAGAACCATAAGGCCTACTTATAGAATTGTGGATAAATTCAGCTACCAGTCTTTCATTACCTTAAACGAAATACGATGAATAGACCTCGCATATAAAGTAAACTTACTATTTTCCAAAGAATTTTTCATCTTAAATTTTGACAGAATGTTTATTTTACCCAATAATTAGATTATTACTCTAACCCGAGTTAGCAATTTTCCACTCGCGTTCGTTAGTCAATACTATCATGTAGATGCAGTCTGCCTGAATGCACGTTCGTAGAACATTATAATGAAAGACAACTATATAACATGAAATATTAAACATCTTTTGCACTCATTGTTTTAATCAAAATTTTCTGTGGCAAATTGGCTTTTTTAAGCCCCAATCAAAACTTCATATTGCATATACCCTTGTCTCGTTGAGGCTGAAAAATTAATCTGGATAAATTAGGATTTTATCTATTTAAAAGGAGGCAGCAATCAAAGCGAAAGATCATGGAGACTGTACATCTTGTATTAGTTATATTTTCAGTCATGGGAAGCAAGCAAAAATAGAGAATGCAGCACTCAAATTGCTCAGTAAGATGCCATTATTCATTACAAAATTTTCTTATTCGGAGATGACCTGTTGCATTCCCCGCAGCATCTAAACCCACAGGTGATCACATTGGTGAAGAGGTTATAAAGTAATAGGATTGTATCATGTCGGGCTCTGATTCTGGTTTCGACAGAGCGAAAAGTTATCTCAAATGATAGATGCAATCAGATGCATTCGCTACTTTACAAGGTAGTGAATCTGAGATGATTGCTTATGTAATTTGTATGTCGTAATAGACGAATTTCAGCTAGAAAAGTAGGTCTCTTGCATTGTGTATAGATGATCGATGGGTTCGGCTGTGCTTCCTGATCCCAGAGTAAGGCTGGACTGGTGACCTGATGCCCCTCGCTTTTCTTTCGTCCAGCTACCCTCTTCTCTCATACGCCAACTCGTCAGCAGGCTCTCACAGATCGACTCATCTGCTTGGGGAGTGTCTCCAGGTCCAAAACACCCAGCGCCTGAGTAGCATGCCTTCGACGCCGACATAGGAGAGGAGGAGGAGTTTGAGGATGAGGAAGAGGATGAGGCATGCGATGGGAAGTAGGAATAGGTGGCGACTTGAGAGATAACCGGAATATGAGGCTCAGTGTTTATAGAGCTGCTCGAACAGCCACAGGGGGAGATTGGTTGTCTGGTAGAAACTAAAGTGATTAAGCTAGTCTGCTGAGGACCCGCTGACAATGAGTCGGCGGCCCGCGATTTGGGTGATGCGATTGGCGGCAAAAAAGTTTGTAAAGTTGATAGGCCGGTCGAAGCTTCTGCATAGGCGGCGGCCAAAACCGTCAAATGACTCTGGCTAGCCGATAAGTGGGACAGTTGGAGTGAGGATAAGCAGCCTGGGCTCCTATGAGGCTGACCATTTGGACGTGAATATTGCCCCTTATGAGAATCGAAACGGGGCGGAAAATCAGCTGCCGCTGGAAAGTTGTCCATAGTAGTTCTGTGACAAAAAGCATCAGGGGACGAGGGAGCTGTGAGTCCAGTAAGCGCTTGTATTGGGAACGGAGTTGGCCTTAGATTGGAGAATGATAGTGAAGATGGAGGGTAGATGCAAGGCGAAGACGAAGTATTTGTCCTAAGGCAAGGAGGAGCTTGCGGGGATGAGGATTCTGTCTCTAATTTGAGGGTCCTCGTGGTTGGCATTGTAGTTACAGCAGGTGCTAGATTTGGAAAAGGATCGGCCGTAGTTAAGGGCGGTCGAATACGAAGCGAAAAATCAATCTCTTCTGAGTAGGGACTGGTTGCTTCAGTGGATAATGAAGCAAAGTGTGGACCTGTAGTTGTG